GGGAGGTGTCCCTGCCCAGGGCAGGGGGTTGGAACTAGATGATCTCTGAGGTCCCTTCCAACCCAAACCATTCTATGATTCTATGATATGAAAGGTTTTTGATAGGAAAAAACGGGTGAACTCAGTGCCTGGGGAGCAGCATCCGGAGCCCAGGGCTTTCCAAAGGCACTGTGGCTTCATGGGTTTTGTGCTGGCTGCATGAGCACCAAATGTCCTGGTTGCCTGTCAAACTGCCTCACACCATCAAAACACAGTTTGCCCTCAGCAAGCTTAGAACTCAGATAACATCGAGTTGGGTTGGAGGCTCAACACAGCAAAAACATTACGTAGTATGGGGAGTTGGACCAGATGATCTCTAGAGGTCCCTTCCAACAATTCCGTGATGCATTAGGCTGGAACACTGTGGTGTGTTTGTTTTTCTTGCCCCCAAACATCATTTAGACTTTTTTTTTTTTCACCATCAAAACACAGTTTGCCCTCAGCAAGCTTAGAACTCAGATAACATCGAGTTGAGTTGGAGGCCCAACACAGCAAAAACATTACGTAGTGTGGGGAGTTGGACCAGATGATCTCTGGAGGTCGGTTGGAGGCTCAACACAGCAAAAACATTACGTAGTATGGGGAGTTGGACCAGATGATCTCTAGAGGTCCCTTCCAACAATTCCGTGATGCATTAGGCTGGAACACTGTGGTGTGTTTGTTTTTCTTGCCCCCAAACATCATTTAGACTTTTTTTTTTTTTCTCCCAAAAAACAGTTTTTGCAGCTCTTTTCCTCACGAAACATGTCTTTACCAGTGCTTCAGCCCCCCAGCTGCAAAGGGCAGGGAGAAGTGTCGCTGGGGACAGACAAAACCACCAGGAGCTCACTCTTTTGACACCGGGAGTGAAACAGCCCGTCCTTCAGGGGGGAAAGGGGTCAGCAGCAGGAGGCTGGAAAGCAAAGCCTCACCCTCCAGGGTTTATTCTCCAGTGGGAAGTATCTACAGCTCAAAATTTGTTTTAGTGAGCAAACACGGCCGTCCCTGACCGCTGACCGTTGTGGCTTTGTGGGAGCCAGCCCTGGGCACGCTGAGAAGAGGCTGACCTCTCCTTACTCATATCCTGCCTCCCCACCTCCCTGCCTTTTCCTTCTGGCCTGTTTTTTTTTTTTTTTCCAAATCTTTTCAAGGTTTCTTTCTCTAACCCAGGCTGAATTCTCAAGGAGTGAAAGAGGGAACTTCTCCATGGGAACAGCTGTTGGAAAACAAACCGCCGAACAAAGCTAACCTTTACAACCAAGTCAAGTGATGCTTGAATTATTACGAATACTACCCAGGATACAATAGGGCAGAATTCATCTGCCCTTTCGTTACCATGAAGCAAACCCCTGGGAATGCTTCACAGGAGCTCCTCTCTGCTTAAACTCCTTTTTTTTTGCCATCTCCTGGCCAGGCTGTTGACAACGATTCGCAGCAAGCGCTGGAAAACTTCCCTCTTGCAGGGGGGATTTTATTTAGTTCTCCCAACCCCAAAACAGTAATGAAAGAGTCAGGTTTTGTGAGAAAACAGCCTTTTAAATCACATTCCTTTGAGCAAAGACCTAGAAGCCTGGGTGGCAGGAGTCCATTTACTCCTGGGATGCCACTGACTTTCCACTCCAGGTACAAAATAACTTTGCCTTCCCATCTTGCTACCTGGTAAACAGGGGGTAATATTTATCTTGTCAAGAAATCCCTGGATAAAGGGTGCAAGGGCAGGATTGCAATGGTAAGCACAGTTGCTGCTGGAATGCTTTTCCTCACCCTTTTTAAATTTTATTTTTAAATCTTAGGAGAAGATAGATCGATATCCATCTGAACCACCCAATCCATTTTTTATTGAGAGTTTTTTTTTCATCATTCTCTCAACGCTGTGGAGGATTGAGCCAGAAAACAAAATCTGGATCCCAGCCAAAAAGCAGGTTCAGCAAAATTTAAAGGACCGTCACTTTACTAATGTAGGTCCTAAGTAAAGAGAAGAGCTTGGCAGGGAAGTCATTCTATATTAGAAAGTTCATTGATAGTCTGTAGACTGTTTCCTCCTCTCAGGCTGCAGCAAATCAAATCAGGGTACCATAGTTGATGGAATTAAGTAGAAAAGAGGACACTTGGTCCAAAAGCACAGAAAACAGTCATCAATGGTGATTTAATTGGATTATCTAAAATTATATTATTTCAGTCTTTGAAGAGAAAGAAAAATAAAACTACAGAAAAGCTGTAGCCATATCTGCATATAGGATTCTTTAAATGCCCTGAGTTTAGGCACAGCATTGCCCTTGGCATCTATTCTCACGTTTCATTTTAAGATTGGGCTTGTGACAGTGATTAAAATGAATATAAGTGAAGATGTCAGTTGATATTAAAAGAAAATAAGATATGCTTTTGCAATTTAACCTAAGGAAAAGGAAGATGCAAGTTTAGTTTTAAAGACATCTCCCTTTCAATGCTGCTTCAGTGATCCTGACACACCATGGGTTTCAGAATTAGGTGATTTTTCTCAACTCTAAATAGGACTAATGATCTCTTGCTAATGTGTCTTAATTTCTAAGTAGCACAAAAAATATAGTTCATTAGTAGCATACTTAAGAACTGCATAAAGAACTCAAATTCCCTGAAAGAAAAAATGCTCCCAAGAGGAAATCTTTTGGTTTTAACTATAGACCTAAACCCAAGCCTGCTGAGATCAGGTTTCTCTTCTAAACATCACTGTCCTCTTAATCCACACTGTCATTGAGGAAACTACCCGGGCAGCAATCCAAACTCAGAAGATCCAAATCAATTAATATTAGCAGTAATTGGAGGAAGACTGCATTCAGGGAGAGAGGGGCTCAGTAAAGTCCCTCTAAAATATCCATCGGACAATAGAGAAACGTATGTATAAATTCAGAAGCTGCTGTTCAGAACACATTACTGAAGAGCTAACATCTATCTACCCAGAGTTTGCTGCAAAGTTGCACTTTGTTGTCTGCACTGGATGTAATTGAGATACTGGTTTCTCTTCTCAGGACACCCTGGCCTGTGCTGAGCTGACACAGAGCCTGGGGATGCTGCTGTCGGCGCATAAAAGAGACCCCGTGATTGTGGGCCACGCTGCCTGTATCATCAAAAACCTCAGCCTTTCCAAAAACAGACAGGTAAGTAACCAGGATTTTTCATTGGGGAGGCTGCAATTACATTTATATCCCATCAGCATCACCCACAGAAAGCATTTCATTAAACATACACCAAGGATACTCTACACAAAATTGTGTGTGTGAATAAAAGGACCTGATGTGCCACAATGAAAGGTTTTTTTTTCCCCCCGTATTTTTTCCAATACAACACAGAAATGCTAATCAAGGTAAGAAATAACCAATATTTTCCTGGTGATCTGGTTACCTAATTTGAATGGCTGCATCATAGGTATAAAACGTACTTTCAGCAAAGACATTTCATAATACTAATTAAAGGAACCATCCAGGAAAATCTGAGGTTTGTTACAAACTAGCCAAAAAGAAAACTATTTCCAGTACTAAGATAAGAATTACACAAATTTCTGATAGTTTTCAAATCACTTTTTGCAGAGAAATAGATTCCCTCAAACTCGAGGCCCACAGTAGGAGTAAAAACGGCCCATCCTTTCAAAGTTTGCTTTTAAAAAATTACCATATCCCTCACTTTAATGCTATGACTTTATTCTGTTCTCAGCAGGGAGCTAGTTCACCTTCCTAAAGTTTTATAACGTGCCCTGCAACGTATTTAGCTCTCACTGCACTAGGAAAATCTGAGATTTGTTATAAACTAGCCAAAAAGAAAGCTATTTCCATTACTAAGATAAGAATTACACGAATTTCTGATAGTTTTCAAATCACTTTTTGCAGAGAAATAGATTCCCTCAAACTCGAGGCCCACAGTAGGAGTAAAAACGGACCATCCTTTCAAAGTTTGCTTTTAAAAAATTACCATATCCCTCACTTTAATGCTATGACTTTATTCTGTTCTCAGCAGGGAGCTAGTTCACCTTCCTAAAGTTTTATAACGTGCCCTGCAACGTATTTAGCTCTCACTGCACAAGTGAACCCACAGACATGAGTGGGAGTGTGGAGTCAATTCTAAGATACAACCCCTAAAACACATGAGAATCCTTAGCACAAGGAGGAAAAAAGTGTTGGTTTTATGCCAACAGGACACTGACAGAGAGTGGGAGCTTGAAAGGCAGCAGCCTTGAATCCAGCTTCAACCTCTAACTGCAACCTCAAACAAGCACACAAAGCAAAGGTAGAGCCTTTTGTTGATGAGACACCTGAGCTCCTTTACTCAGGTGTGAGCAGCTTCCATTATTAGGACCTCCCAGAGAGCTGGTGACCTCATGATGTAGCTTCACTAGTAACCAGTCACCTCCAGGTGACTCATTCCTTGGTCTCATGTGCTTTTAATCCAGGCCAACAAAGCCCAAGTCTCCTACCTGTTTTCAATTCAGTCTCTAAAACGCATATCCTGGCACAGAGAGGTGCTGCCCCACACCACTTTTGCCATAAATTCAACCCAAAAAGGGCGACACAGAAATGTTTAATTTATAACATTCCTCTCCAGAAACAGAACTCACCTTTCCTAGTGAGAGGTCATCTCAGATTTCTGCAGATCAGAGCATTTCAACACCAGAAAGTTTTCAAGGCCCTAGAGGCAAATACAAGAAATTGATAAACTTGCACATTTCCCAGAGCTTTGCCCTGGAGCACTTACTCACCTCTGCGGCAAGACTTGAGCAAGTGACAGCTTAATTCTAACACGAAGCCTGGTGCAGCAGCAATAGGTTTAGGAAATTCTCTAAAACATCTAAAATCAGGCAATCTCTGAACAATCCGAGGTGTTTGTTACCTGGTTGTGGTGGATCTGGGAGGAGACGTTTCCGTTATTGATGTTCAAGGCCAGGCTGGATACAGAGTTGAGCAACCTGGTCTGGTGGGAGGTGTCCCTGCCCATGGCAGGGGGGTTGGAACTGGATGGTCTTTAAGGTCCCTTCCAACCTGAACCATTCTATGATTCTATGATGTTTTAGCCCTCAGTATTTCTAAAAGTTATTCAGTACTTCTGAAGGCCTTGGGCACCACTAAAACATAACCCTCAGTATTGCTAAGAGTTATTCGGTACTTCTGGAATCCTTGGGCACCACTAAAACATAACAAAAGCACTAAACATGAACCTCTTTCTTGCTGCAGAGAATCATTGATAGCCCATGCATTGAAGGTCTCCTCCAGACCATGCTTTCTACTGACGTTCAAGAAGACTCTCTGCATTGTGTGACATCTTGCCTTGCTGAGCTGGCCAAGCAAGGTAGGGAAGCAACCCCACCATAAATGGCTTCATTTGAGAGGTGTACGTATCCTTAATTAATCCTAACGGGTTACAAAGCACAGGAGGGCAAACAGCCCCAGGTCTTCTCCTTTATATTCACTGGAAGTTTTGCCATGAGCTTCAAGAAGAGCAAGATCTGACTCAATGGCAGGAGAAACTGCACTTTTTTTTTTGTTGAACTGCTTCAATTTTTTTACTCAAAATTCTTTGTGCTGAACTCGTACTGCTGCACACAGCCCACCTGCTTTTATTTGTCATGCCACCCAGCTTCTCCGCTGAATTAATTGCATGAAACTAATGTAAGAGGAAGAAAAGGCTAAAATACAAAATGGCCTTTTCTCCTTAAGCTTATTGCACGTAGATGTTACAAGAGATCCCAAATTATGCCCCGTGGAAGGCAGAGCACTCCTCGTGGTGCAGAGGAACAACGTAAATCTTCCCAGCCTGTTTCATCTCCTGCATCTCTTGTAACCACCACGCAACGGGTGACAAGTCACATTTAATTTTGTAAGAGGTGTCCAGCAGCTGCTGGACAGACTGAGCCTACTGGGCAAGAGCAGATCTCCTACATAAAAGGATTCATTCTTTCAGAACACATTCGTTCACGTTTCAGAACACACATTCTTTCATCAAGACCAAGCTGGATGGGGCTTTGGGCAACCTGGTCTGGTGGGAGGTGTCCCTGCCCAGGGCAGGGGGTTGGAACTGGATGATCTTTAAGGTCCCTTCCAACCCGAACCATTCAGTGATTCTATGACACTGGACTTTCTGTTCACAAGGTACTCTCTTATTTTCTGTGTTCCAGAAGGAGCCACGTTACGCATGGTCCAATGGATGGACGAGCCCTTGACAAAGTGCCTGGTGAGACTGGCTGGCCACCTAGAACATGCCGATGCCTCCTTTCAAGCTGCCTCCATCATCCAGCACATGATGGGTCACGGTAACTGTCACACAGAGTTACCTGCACTTACAAAAATATTTATGTAGATGTTACAAGAGATTCCAAATTATGCCCCGTGGAAGGCAGAGTACTCCTCGTGGTGCAGAGGAACAATGTAAATCTTCCCAGCCTGTTTCATCTCCTGCATCTCTTGTAACCACCACGCAACGGGTGACAAGTCACATTTAATTTTGTAAGAGGTGTCCAGCAGCTGCTGGACAGACTGAGCCTACTGGGCAAGAGCAGATCTCCTACATAAAAGGATTCATTCTTTCAGAACACATTCGTTCACGTTTCAGAACACACATTCTTTCATCAAGACCAAGCTGGATGGGGCTTTGGGCAACCTGGTCTGGTGGGAGGTGTCCCTGCCCAGGGCAGGGGGTTGGAACTGGATGATCTTTAAGGTCCCTTCCAACCCGAACCATTCAGTGATTCTATGACACTGGACTTTCTGTTCACAAGGTACTCTCTTATTTTCTGTGTTCCAGAAGGAGCCACGTTACGCATGGTCCAATGGATGGACGAGCCCTTGACAAAGTGCCTGGTGAGACTGGCTGGCCACCTAGAACATGCCGATGCCTCCTTTCAAGCTGCCTCCATCATCCAGCACATGATGGGTCACGGTAACTGTCACACAGAGTTACCTGCACTTACAAAAATATTTATGGCTGGCTGGAGTGAAATGAGCCTTTTCCCAAAGGAATTAACTGTCAGGCACCAAAAAAACTTTAACGTTCCTATAGCATCCTCCATCTGAGGGCTTGGAACTGGTCCAGAGGAGGCCACAAAGATGATCCAAGGGCTGGAGCACCTCTGTTGTGAGGACAGGCTGAGGGAGTTGGGGTTGTTCAGCCTGGAGAAGAGAAGGCTCCAGGGAACCCCTTCCAGTACCTAAAGGGGCTACAGGAGAGATGGGGAGGGAGTCTGGATCACGGAGTGGAGCTATAGGATGAGGGGGAATGGTTTTAAAATGAAAGAGGGGAGATTTAGATGAGATCTCAGGAAGAAATTCTTTGCTGTGAGGGTGGTGAGACACTGGAAGAGGTTGCCCAGAGAAGCTGTGGCTGCCCCATCCCTGGAGGGGTTCAAGGCCAGGCTGGATGGGGCTTGGAGCAACCTGGTCTGGTGGGAGGTGTCCCTGCCCAGGGCAGGGGGTTGGAAGTGGATTATCTTTAACTTCCTTTCCAACCCAAACTATTCTGTGATTCAATGATCTGGTCTCTACAAATTTGTTAACATAAAAGCACCTCTAGTAACCCTTTAAATCCACATACACCAGTGCTTGAGTGCATGAAAAAGCCAAGGGATGAAAATACACCATAGAAAAAGATCCGATTCAGGTGTTTGTTGCCTTTTTCAAGCACTGCCATTCTGCAGGGCTTGTCCGTTGCCAAGTCTGAAGTCTTTAAGAACAACTTAAGTAGGAAAGTGGGAAAGAGTAAAACAAAAAATCAGTTTTCAAAGTGTTTTGAAGGCTCCTATTGACCCCCAGTGGTTCTCCCCTTTACGCAGAAAAAATGATGCTTTTGTTGAAGCGCCACATCAGAGAGGTCCAGGCCTACCTGGAGAACTTCCTCGCCCACCGAGAGCTCCGCTTCCAGCAGCTGGGCCTCTCCACGTTCTGCAGGCTGAGAGAAGGTACGTCCTGCTGCTGGGACCAGCCCCGGGGTCACTGCCAGCCCCTGCCCGCTCCTGCCCACGGCAAATGGGCACCACGTGATGGCAGAAGAGACAGGAACCCTTCTCTGGGGACTAGTGCTGCCCCTTCAGCACACAGAATCATCTAAAAAGGGTGACTCTTACCCATCCTGTTTTTGAGGATTTTATGATAAAGGCAGGGATTTATCTGTTTGCTTTAAAATTAAAAGCTTTCTGATCAGCGGGGAAACAGGACTTCAGGTACAGATGTTTTTATCCAATATAAGAATGTTTGGCATCAGACACAACCTAAACACTAGATGAATTTAGTTTCTTTTGATAAAGCAAACAAATTGCACGATTAGCTGGTGCTAAAGCTGGGAAATCACACATCTTTTCCATAATTCAAATTCTTGATTTTTTTCCATTTTTGTTTGTTTTTATTTTTTTTGTTTTAGGTAGAGGTTGAGTACAAATGAGAGTTATAACATGGCAATAAATATATATAGTGTCTATCTTCATGTATGTAGAGCCAGAGCCAAGACCTTCCTATGCCTTGATTCAGTGTAAGGCTGAATTTGGCAACTGAGCCTTAGACATCTGGATCAGGAGAATTTATAACAGCAAACACTCCTGAATGGTCAACTGAATTTGTACCTGCTTTGTGTGGTAGAAGAATGTTGTTCCACCTTCCCTATACACTGTCTAAGAACCAGCAACTGTATCTAACCTGAAATGTAAACTTTCTAAGCATCTCCATTAAAAACCAGCAGGTTCCCTAACACTTGTTTTTCCTTCTCAGATCCGGAATTTTCATCAGCGTTCAGAAAAAGCCAAGTGGCCAAACTCCTTGAGCAAGTCCGTCAAGAAACAGAAGAAACTCAAGAGCTCCTCAGGGCAGCTGTGTGCCACGAAGACAGTTAATATTTAAGCCAGATGGTTTATAAAAACTTAACAGATCCAGAGAAGACAACTGTAATTAAAGTTTTCCTGCTACTTGTGGTTTCGTGGTGCAGAGGAGATGTTCCGATAACAAGAGTCGGAGCAGGTGAAAACACAATCCCTTGAACACTTTGCCCTCAAATGTGCTTGAGGACTATGGCTACATTCTCCTTCCAACAGTCTGGAAAACACCTGCTGTGCTTGGATAATCTTCCATGGTTTGGTTTTGGTTTCCTCAACCCCCTTCTCCAAAAACACAGTGCTGTATTCACAAGATTTTCCTGATTTAACAGACTGATGCTACCAAAGAGGCATCTCTCAAGTGCAGGTTACTCCATGTTCATCTTTGTTTCTGTTTCATGTCCCTTATTTCAGAGCACACTCCAGGGTCTTGCCTTCAAAAAAATAATTAACACGTAGAATAGAGGTAGCAAACCACTAACAGGTTACTACAGGAAGTAACTGTTGCAAGAAATTAATAAGAATCAAGAACAGGACGAGCCTTGAGGAATTTCATTTAGAATCACAGAATAGAATCATAGAATGACAAGGTTTTCCTGATTTAACAGCCTGATGCTACCAAAGAGGCATCTCTCAAGTGCAGGTTACTCCACGGTCATCTTTGTTTCTGTTTCATGTCCCTAATTTCAGAGCTCCAAGCCCCATCCATCCTGGCCTTGAACCCCTCCAGGGATGGGGCAGTCACAACTTCTCTGGGCAACCTCTTCCAGTGTCTCACCACCCTCACAGGAAAGAATTTCTTCCTGAGATCTCATCTAAATCTTCCCTCTTTCAGTTTAAAACCATTATCCCTTGTCCTATCACTTCACTACCTGATAAAATTATTCCCAAAGGTACTTACAAGAGGGAAAAAGTGAACACATTTGGCAAAGTTAGGAATTGATCTTATATTTTGATAATGATACTGCATTTTAAAAGGAGTTAAAGAACAAAAAAATGTAGTAATATGTTTAAATGCAACTAATTTTCTTACGTGTATATAGGATACTGAAAAACCTCCCCTTCCTTCTCCTCCAGAAGGAAAGGGTCTGTCTCACACACCTTTTAACTGATTAAAAAAGCATTTTTTCCAGGAAAAAAGAAAGGTAGAACAGAGCCTTGAAATTATGGGGCACTAGTTTTTCAACGTAGTTTTTCATTCATAAGAGAATAACCATCATCTCCTAGTAATCCATTCCACCTTTGATCAATACACTTGGCTTTAAATACAAATATTCTCCTGGAGCTTCCTGTGAAACACTGAAATTTGGGAATCGCATCTGCTCCCGGGTGAGCTCCTGGAACATTTCAGGAGAGTTTCCTGCCTTCTGAGCTACTTCTGAGCACGGTATAAGTCTTCCAGGAATGTAGAGCTTTAGAGCTGCTCCCAGTTACACACATGGAATAAAAATGAAATTAAAAAAAAAATAATAAAAAAATCATTCTGTCAACTAAGAGCTGGTTTCTTTTGAAGGTTTCTTTTGAAATCTCCTGCCAAAGACCCACGTGCCCAGCTGTGGGCAGTGGGGCTGATTGAAACAGAGGCCCACAGCGAGCTGAACGACATAAGTCACATCATCCCAAATTTCAGGCCACCTCCTTGGGTGACTTTAGATCATTTTCCAAAAAGAACATCAGTGCAGTATTAAGTAATGACACCAGAATCTATCCAGTATCTGTACTCTCTGGTATTTCACCGCAGATCTTAGGTCAAGGTCTTAGCAACAAAAGAAAATAACAAAACATTCTCCACCAGGAAGGAGGAGATAAGAGACACGTGAAACAAGTGAGGCAAACCTGGAATGAATATAATTATAAATTGGTTTTACCACAAAAACAGCAACCAACCAAGACACACGTGAGGAACGAAGCAGGCTCTGCTGTGCTGCAAACAGTGAAACAAGAGTTCTGAAGGCTCACAAAAAACCTTACACCCAAGCCTAAATAAATCAAGATCAACAGAATTTAAACCTGAACCTCTATGAATCCTCACACTTAAAAATTAAGCAAAAATCTAATCCTAATTTTCCAGTACTGAGGTTAGAGGAAACCTGAAGGAAAGTTTTAAGTGAGTAGCAAGAAGAGTTTTCCGTCACAGATTGACCCCCCCTGCCTTGGCTATGCAAGAAAAGGAAAATATAAATAGAAATAAATATTTCAAACCAGTTTTATTTGGTACTTACATGCTCTATATAGCTTTAAAGAAAAACTACAGACTTTGGACACTTCAAAATACCGTGGCTATGTACAAGGAAAGCTAAAGAAAGCGAGAAAGGAACCCAATCCATTTTAGTGTGTCACGAGCTACCGCTGTCCAGCTGGTTTTTCCCTTCCACACAGATGAAGTCTGGCAGATGAAGTCTCTTTCGTTGTGTTTCCATTGCTTTTATCCCATCTCCTGGGTCAGGTGGACACTTGGCAGCAGCAGAAAGTCATTTCTTCAAAAAAAATTCTTCAGGGGATTCCTTCTGCTGCCCAGACTTCTCTGCTTCCTACGGGCCCAGCTCCGCGCTCCCTGAAGGCAAGAACCTCAACGGTAACTGGAACCCCATCAACCTCCCTGTCCCTTGGCCAAGGATCTTCTCACCAGCTTCAGTGAGCAACGCACCAAGCCCCAAGTTGGAGCTTGGAGCTCAGATCAGCTCCACCTGTAACAGCGTCGTTTCTCGAAGCACAAAAAAAGGTGCAAAATCTGCAGTTCTGCCCAAAAGCAACCAAAAGCGAGGGATGGACCGATGAGATCAAACCGGCGTCGAACGAAAAGAAAAAGCAACCTGTGCTGCTCCTCCTGTCACTCCAACCGTACCGCTTCGTAAAAACCACACTCCACATAAAACACACAAACAATCACCATTTTCCGTTTGCTCTGAAACGAGCAAAAAAAAACCCCTAAAAAAAAATAATCTCCGAACGAACCTGCTTCGTCATCCCAAAAAAATATCAACTATTTCAAGGTTTCACAGTCTTTAATAGTCTGATAAGGCAAAGGCAAAGTCCTCCATCACTGGGAACAGCAGCAACTTACAGGACCTGGGTATTTCCCTGCGAGCGGGTGCACACACCCATTCTGGTCTTGTGACCACGGATGGAACTTAAAACAAACAAAATAATCAAGTGTTCGGGATCATTTTACCACATTTTTCTAATTTATTCAATTCAATCATTTCTTTCCGTACTCCACAAAATTCATAAATACATCATCTAGGAGAACAGTAGCTTTTTTTTTTTTTCCTCTTGTCCATGAAAAAATAACGCTTTCAAATGTTCACATTTTAAAACCTGCCTTGTTTTGTGTTTTTTTTCTTTTTTTTTTTAGAGAAAAAGTGAGAAGCTCATAGTGACATCTCAATTTACAGAACGTCCCTGTAGGAATTACATTTACAAGAACCTGATACAGAAGCCTTTACTTCGCCCCCATAATTAGAGTTCTCTGCAATAATATTTAAACCAACAGGTTTAAATCAAACACCCCATTCAACTCTACTTGTAGAGCAACGAGGTATTTATTTTTCAAGTATTAGAACCACAAAGTGTAAAAGATTCTTTGCCAATTTTACAATTAACGCCTTCGAAACCGACACCCACCTTTTTTTTGTTTAAAAAAAAAAAAAAAAAAAAAAAAAAAAGCATCAGTCCCACCACCCCCAAATCAGCCCATTGCTTTCAGATTCCAGTGTCTTGTGTCTCAAGGAATGCAGAAATATCCATTTACTAACAGAAAAAGCTCGTTGGAAAATAAGCCATATTAAGTAATGCACGTGAAGCATGATTTCTTTTTTTTTTTGTTGTTTCTTTGCTAGTGATGAAAGCTATTAGAAAGGTGATCCAAGTCTAGTCCCATCATCTCTTCTGCTGGTTTTACTCAAGTCCTTCCAAAAAAGATAGACAAATCTTTAAAAAACTGGAGAGAAAAAGAAAATAAACCACTCCTTCATAGCGCGGGAGGAAACTCCACTGACTGCAGAGACGCTGGTGTCACCTTTGGTTCTCCAGAAGGACCAAATCAGATCACTTCTACAACAGAAGGTATCAAAAACGGACAGGTCAGCAAAGAGGCCACAAGGCTTACTTCAAAACGCTGTGCTTTTATGCAATTATTTCATTGTAAGCTGATTCTCCTTACATTGTCCCACAGGGCTGGGTACTGGGACCCATTCTCTTCAACATCTTTATCAATGATCTGGACAAGGGGATGGAGTGCACCCTCAGCAAATTTGCAGATGACACCAAGTTGGGTGGGAGTGTTGATCTGCTGGAGGGTAGAGAGGCTTTGCAGAGGGATCTGGACAGGCTGGATGGGTGGGCTGAGACCAACGGGATGAGGTTCAACAAGGCCAAGTGTCGGGTCCTGCACTTGGGCCACACCAACTCCCTGCAGTGCCACAGGCTGGGGGCAGAGTGGCTGGAGCTGCCTGACAGAGAAGGACCTGGGGGTGTTGGTTGACTGTCGGCTGAACAGGAGCCAGCAGTGTGACCAGGTGGCCAAGGGGGCCACCAGCATCCTGGCCTGTATCAGGAACAGTGTGGGGAGTAGGGCCCGAGAGGTGATCGTCCCCCTGTACTCGGCACTGGTGAGGCCTCACCTCGAGTACTGTGTCCAGTTTTGGGCCCCCCACCACAAAAAAGACATTGAGGTGCTGGAGCGGGTCCAGAGAAGGGCAACAAAGATGGTGAGGGGTCTGGAGAGTAAGTCTGATGAGGAGAGGCTGAGGGAGCTGGGGGTGTTCAGTCTGGGGAAGAGGAGACTGAGGGGAGACCTTCTTGCTCTCTACAACTACCTGAAAGGAGGGTGTAGAGAGGTGGGGGTCGGTCTCTTCTCCCAAGTTACAGATGATAGGACAAGGGGTAATGGCTTCAAGTTGCGCCAGGGGAGGTTTAGACTGGATATTAGGAAACAATTCTTCACAGAGAGAGTGGTCGGGCATTGGAACAAGCTGCCCAGGGAGGGGGTTGAGTCACTGTCCCTGGATGTGTCGAAGGGACGTTTAGATGTGGTGTTGGGGGATATGATGTAGGGGAGAACTTTAGAGTAGAGTGGATGGTTGGACTCGATGATCCTGAGGGGCTCTTCCAGCCTAGATAATTCTGTGATTCTGCGATTCTGTGATTTCTAGGCAGAGAAAGTGCATGTCCAGCTGAGGTTGCTATGTGTTTGCCTGAAAGTGGATGTCCAGCTGAGGTTGCTATGTGTTTGCCTAACGCTCTTTAAAAGCCACGATGTCATTCAGAGAAATCTAGCTTGTGGCAAACCATCCCTCCGTATTAATTCGGCAAGAACTCGATGAGGGAAAAAAATATCCTTAATTTTACACAGAAGGGAGGTACCAGCTCCCCTCTGGCACGACCAGACCATGACTGCTGATGGGAACAGCAGTTGTCCCTGTCACCATTTCTGTTTGGAAGCACAGGGCAAACATTTTCAAGCAACTTGAGATAGCAAAAAAAGCGCAGCTCTCATCAATTAAGAGCTCTAGGTCAATTACAACGCGTTACAGGTGTTAATGAATCAAGGCAAACCCACCTGCTGTTTGATGCGTCTGAACACTCTCTACCTGAGGCAAAAGAGTCCCCTTGTCCTCAAAGGCCAGAATGGGATTCAAGGGGATCTGGGGACTATTGCTCCCCTCGTTGTTCATGGCGTCCAGCCGGGAGGGTTTGGAGCCGATGGGCAGGTTTAGGATCTCTTCAAAGTTGTCGTTCTGCAGAGACATCCCGTTGGCGTTCTTCTCCGGATTTAAATTGCTGAAAGAGAAACAGGGATTTCCTCACAGGTTTCACCCACAACAGACATTTGATCCTCCTCAAAGCGATATGACAAACGAGAAAGTCGGCGTTGACCCAGAGCAGTCCTTCAGCCAGCAGAAATGACACAATGCTTCTACCACAGCAGAAAAACGGTTTTTGTATCCAAGTACTAGATGTCTCTTCCCTTTTGGGCCCCCTACCACAAAAAAGACATTGAGGTGCTGGAGCGGGTCCAGAGAAGGGCAACAAAGATGGTGAGGGGTCTGGAGAATAAGTCTTACGAGGAGAGGCTGAGGGAGCTGGGGGTGTTCAGCCTGGAGAAGAGGAGGCTGAGGGGAGACCTTATTGCTCTCTACAACTACCTGAAAGGAGGGTGTAGGGAGGTGGGGGCCGGTCTCTTTTCCCAAGTCACAGGCGACAGGACGAGAGGAAATGGCCTCAAGTTGCTCCAGGGGAGGTTCAGGCTGGATATTAGGAAAAATTTTTTTCACTGAAAGGGTTCTCAGCCATTGGAATGGGCTGCCCAGGGAGGTGGTTGAGGCACCATCCCTGGAGGTGTTCAAAAGACGGGTTGATGTAGTGCTGGGAGGTATGGTTTAGTGATGGTGCTCCTTGTTTGTTGTGTGGGTGTCTATTTTTGTCAGTTAGGTTGACGGTTGGACAAGATGATCTTTAAGGTCCCTTCCAACCTAGAAGATTCTGTGATTCTGTGATTCAAATACCCAGGGTGGTTGTGCCATTGGGCCACTCTGTACCAGAACCACACAGAGAGCTTGAGGGACACCACAGTTCCCAGAAGGGATGGAAACAGGGACCAGTCAAGAAACCCCGGCAGCAGCACCACTATCTGGAGCCACCCACCGAATGGAATCTACAGCCTCTAACACCTTCCTGAGCTCTCACAACCTTTGCCATACCCTTCCTCTTCCTATCACTCAATGTCATTGCCTTTATCTAAGATCATTGTCATTTCTGTCATTCCTTGAATCATCTCCAGCCACCAGGTTTGGAACAGCCTCTCCCACCTGCCCCTCAGCCAGAGAAAAGACCCCCTTACGATGCAGTTCTCCTTTCACTTCCTCCTCCCCTGCAAGTTCTTCAGGTTTATTCCCAAGGGGCTTCCTGACTCCTCACTCCTCCTGTTGAGCATCCCCAAGCCAAAAGAAACACCTCCCACCATCCCTCACATCAATCTCCACTTTCTTTCTCTGTCTCCCATCTGACAGAGATGCCGTGGTGAGTGGTATGAGCATGGACCATACTCCCCACTTACACATACCCTCCCAAGAAGAAGCCTGATGGTATCTCTCAGCCTTCCCTCTACCAACCCTTTCATTAGGCCTTGGATTGTCAAATCCTCTGTCTACAGTGCTACTTCAGCGAGCAGGAGGACAGTAATGGGACCACAACCTCCTGAAGAAAGAGCAAGTACTCAACTGACACTCAACAATTGTGTCATCTCTCACCAGTGCTTTTGAAGGCCCTCAACAGTTGCATCCTGACAGTATTGGGTGCCTGTTCCCTGTCCTGACCACATGCTAATTGGGGACTAATAAAACCTGCTCTATAATGTATAACTATTATGTTATTATTCACTCTAAAGCATCCTATTACTCATTTTATCCCCATCTACTACCGCTAACCTTACCAGAGCTGGGATAACAGGGCAAGTTTGATGGATGGGGTAAGAAAAAAGGGGGAAGAGAGCAACTTCTCAGTCACAGATTCACAGAATGCTATGGGGTTGGAAGGGACCTCTGAAGATCATCTAGTCCAACCCCCTGCCAGAGCAGGTTGCACAGGAATGTGTCCAGGTGGGGTTTGAATGTCTCCAGAGAAGGAGACTCCACCACCTCTCTGGGCAGCCTGTGCCAGTGCTCTGCCACCCTCAAAGGAAAGATGTTCCTCCTCATGTTGAGGTGGAACCTCTTATGTTCAAGTTTGTGCCTGTTCCCTCTTGTCCTGTCCCTGGGCACCACTGACAAAAGCCTGGCCCCATCCTCCTGACACCCACCCTTTAAGTATTTATAGGTGTTGATCAGATCCCCCCTCAGTCTTCTCTTCTCCAGACTGAAAAGACCCAAGTCCCTCAGCTTCTTCTCATAGGAGAGATGCTCCAGGCCCCTCATCATGTTTGTAGCCCTTTGCTGTACCCTCTCCATCAGTTCCCTGTCCTTCTTGAACTGGGGAGCCCAGAACTGGACACAGTGCTCCAGATGGGGCCTCACCAGGGCAGAGCAGAGGGGCAGGATTAACTCTCTCAACCTGCTGGTCACACTCTTCCTGATGCACCCCAGGATGCCATTGGCCTTCTTGGCCACAAGGGCACATTGCTGGCTCATGGGCATCCTGTTGTCCACCAGGACTCCCAGGTGGTTTTCCTCACAGCTGCTCTGCATCTGAATGATGTCTCTGAGACAAGAGGAGTCTCTACACTCAGAAAGGGGGTACAGAAGAGGAAACCCTGCCTAGGAATCTTCTATATTTTATGCTATAAAACATATTTTATGCTATAAAATTATGCTGTTTGCTCCACCAGATTACTAGGGGAGCAAGTTGAGAAGAAACAAAGGGAAAAAACGAACCATGGAATTAATTCCACCGGCCATCTTAGAGGCCATAAGCTCAAAAGATTAGACAAATTCCCAGGAGATTGGTAGATCCTCCAGCTTCTGGTAATTAGCAGCTTAGGGACCGCCTGAGCCCATTTGGACCACAATGCTGCAGTAACCCTTCACTGACCAGAACATCTCCTGGTAGTTACATTTATTTCCTTTACACTCTCTCCCTAAGTGACTGCCACAGGTCATTGAAGCAAAAAACATTAAAGAATAGAAGAAACATTCTTCATTAGAAGAAACAAAGGGAAAAAACGAACCGTGGAATTAATTCCACAGGCCATCTTAGAGGCCATAAGCTCAAAAGATTAGACAAATTCCCAGGAGATTGGTAGATCCTCCAGCTTCTGGTAATTAGCAGCTTAGGGACCGCCTGAGCCCATTTGGACCACAATGCTGCAGTAACCCTTCACTGACCAGAACATCTCCTGGTAGTTACATTTATTTCCTTTACACTCTCTCCCTAAGTGACTGCCACAGGTCATTGAAGCAAAAAACATTAAAGAACAAAAAAAAAGACAGATTTTTGAGCTGCTACAGCCATTCTTACTGTCTCCTTCCATTCTTAGCCATGTCTCAGTACCCAGCACGCTGGAGATCTCCTTTTCAGGAGTACAATATTGCACATATGTTTCTAAGAACTGACTAATTTTGGCATTTTAAAATATTCCATAAGATGTAGGAAGACCACCCATGTAACAAAAAATTAAAAAGAAGCTGCCTGAGTTACTCTGAGTGTGTTTCCAAACACAACGGTTTCTCAAGCAGCTCGAGGACAACTTCACAGGTGGCAACATCACAACCCCTCCAAGCACCACTTAAAACTACCCCACCACAAAAATCACCTTTGTGTTCAGACACGTCATTTTAACTCCCACAACTACGAAAAAATAAATTGCTTTTATGAACTGAGAATTTAGGTAAGTTTTATTTGAAAACCTTGAGTGCTACCAGGGGAAAACAGCTCAATTCACGTGCAAATATATCTGTTTTTATCTTTCACGATGCAAAGTGAAGAAGCTTTAAGCCCAAGGAAAACTGATTAGTGTTCATTTGTTTAAAATACAGGAGTAGGAACACAAATAAAAATGCTGACAAACTATTAGGTGGGATAGATGGTTGTGCCGATCCACCATCTGCATTAAATGTTTATTAATAAAGCTAATAATTGCTGACAATAGATATATGGCAAATAACGGAGCAGACCACAGCCTTTTCATTAGGGTTTATGAAGATCAATTGTCATGGAAAGCTAATGAAGTTCTGGTACGACGATGAGATCTGCATTGCTTATCAAAAGCAGCAACAGAGAATGGTGAATTATCTAAATCCATTGCCCAAACTCCACCAGAATTCTTTTAATTTTTCTCAGCTGGGTTGTGTTCATGACCATGGAAGCACCTAGGCCAAGCCTGAGAGCAGCCCTGAGGAGGACCTGGGGCGTGTTGGTGGATGAGAAGCTCGACACAAGCCAGCAACGTGCACCTGCAGCCCAGGAAGCCAACCCCATCCTGGGGGGCATCAAAAGAAGTGTGGCCAGCAGGGCCAGGGAGGGGATTCTGCCCCTCTGCTCTGCTCTGGGGAGACCCCACCTGGAGTGCTGTGTCCAGCTCTGGAGTCCTCACCACAGGAAGGACATGGACCTGTTGGAACGGGTCCAGAGGAGGCCACAAAGATGCTCCGAGGGCTGGAGCCCCTCTGCTGTGAGGACAGGCTGAGAGAGTTGGGGTTGTTCAGCCTGGAGAAGAGAAGGCTCCAGGGAGACCTTAGAGCCCCTTCCAGTACCTAAAGGGGCTACAGGAGAGATGGGGAGGGACTCTTGATCAGGGAGGGGAGTGATAGGATGAGGGGGAGTGGTTTTAAGGTTTTAAACAGGAAGATGGGAGATTTAGATGAGATCTCAGTCCAACCCCCTGCCAGAGCAGGTTGCACAGGAATGTGTCCAGGTGGGGTTTGAATGTCTCCAGAGAAGGAGACTCCACCACCTCTCTGGGCAGCCTGTGCCAGTGCTCTGCCACCCTCAAAGGAAAGATGTTCCTCCTCGTGTTGAGGTGGAACCTCTTATGTTCAAGTTTGTGCCTGTTCCCTCTTGTCCTGTCCCTGGGCACCACTGAAAAAAGCCTGGCCCCATCCTCCTGACACCCACCCTTTCAGTATTTGTAGGTGTTGATCAGGTCCCCCCTCAGTCTTCTCAAGACTAAAAAGACCCAAGTCCCTCAGCCTACTCATTATTAGAAGAAACATTCTTCATTAGAAGAAACAAAGGGAAAAAACGAACCGTGGAATTAATTCCACAGGCCATCTTAGAGGCCATAAGCTCAAAAGATTAGACAAATTCCCAGGAGATTGGTAGATCCTCCAGCTTCTGGTAATTAGCAGCTTAGGGACCGCCTGAGCCCATTTGGACCACAATGCTTCAGTAACCCTTCACTGACCAGAACATCTCCTGGTAGTTACATTTATTTCCTTTACACTCTCTCCCTAAGTGACTACCACGGGCCATTGAAGCAAAAAACATTAAAGAACAAAAAAAAAAGACAGATTTTTGAGCTGCTACAGCCATTCTTACTGTCTCCTTCCATTCTTAGCCATGTCTCAGTATCCACCATGCTGGAGATCTCCTTTTCAGGAGTACAATATTGCACATATGTTTCTAAGAACTGACTAATTTTGGCATTTTAAAATATTCCATAAGATGTAGGAAGACCACCCATGTAACACAAAAATAAAAAGAAGCTGCCTGAGTTACTCTGAGCGTGTTTCCAAACACAACGGTCTCGCAAGCAGCTCAAGGACAGCTTCACAGGTGGCAACATCACAACCCCTCCAAGCACCACTTAAAACTACCCCACCACAAAAATCACCTTTGTGTTCAGACACGTCATTTTAACTCCCACAACTACGAAAAAATAAATTGTTTTTATGAACTGAGAATTTATGTGAGTTTTATTTGAAAACCTTGAGTGCTACCAGGGGAAAACAGCTCAATTCACAAGAAAATATATCTGTTTTTATCTTTCATAATGCAAAGTGAAGAAGCTTTAAGCCCAAAGAAAACTGATTAGTGTTCATTTGTTTAAAATACAGGAGTAGGAACACAAATAAAAATGCTGACAAACTATTAGGTGGGATAGATGGTTGTGCCGATCCACCATCTGCATTAAATGTTTATTAATAAAGCTAATAATTGCTGACAATAGATATATGGCAAATAACGGAGCAGACCACAGCCTTTTCATTAGGGTTTATGAAGATCAATTGTCATGGAAAGCTAATGAAGTTCTGGTACGACGATGAGATCTGCATTGCTTATCAAAAGCAGCAACAGAAGAAAATATATCTGTTTTTATCTTTCATAATGCAAAGTGAAGAAGCTTTAAGCCCAAAGAAAACTGATTAGTGTTCATTTGTTTAAAATACAGGAGTAGGAACACAAATAAAAATGCTGACAAACTATTAGGTGGGATAGATGATTGTGCCGATCCACCATCTGCATTAAATGTTTATTAATAAAGCTAATAATTGCTGACAATAGATATATGGCAAATAACGGAGCAGATCACAGCCTTTTCATTAGGGTTTATGAAGATCAATTGTCATGGAAAGCTAATGAAGTTCTGGTACGACGATGAGATCTGCATTGCTTATCAAAAGCAGCAACAGAGAATGGTGAATTATCTAAATCCATTGCCCAAACTCCACCAGAATTCTTTTAATTTTTCTCAGAATGAGAGCTGCATTGCTTATCAAAAGCAGCAAGAGAGAATGATGAATTATCTAAACTCATTGCCCAAACTCCACCAGAATTCTTTTAATTTTTCTCAGTTGGGTTGTATTCATGACCATGGAAGCACCTGGGCCAAGCCTGAGAGCAGTCCTGAGGAGAAGGATTTGTGGAGCATTGGTGGATGAGAAGCTCGACACGAGCCAGCAACATGCACTTGCAGCCCAGGAAGCCAACCCCATCCTGGGCTGCATCAAAAGAAGAGTGGCCAGCAGGGCCAGGGAGGTGACTCTGCCCCTCTGCTCTGGGGAGACCCCACCTGCAGTACTGTGTCCAGCTCTGGAGTCCTCAGCACAGGAAGGACATGGACCTGTTAGAACAGGTCCAGAGGAGGCTGGGTTGTGTTCATGACCATGGAAGCACCTAGGCCAAGCCTGAGAGCAGCCCTGAGGAGGACCTGGGGCGTGTTGGTGGATGAGAAGCTCGACACAAGCCAGCAACGTGCACCTGCAGCCCAGGAAGCCAACCCCATCCTGGGGGGCATCAAAAGAAGTGTGGCCAGCAGGGCCGTTTTAAACATGAAGATGGGAGATTTAGATGAGATCTTAGGAAGAAATTCTTTGCTGTGAGGGTGGTGAGACCCTGGAAGAGGTTGCCCAGAGAAGCTGTGGCTGCCCCATCCCTGGAGGGGTTCAAGGCCAGGCTGGATGGGGCTTGGAGCAACCTGGTCTGGTGGGAGGTGTCCCTGCCCAGGGCAGGGGGTTGGAACTGGATGATCTTTAAGGTCCCTCCTAACTCTAACCATTCTATGATTCTTTAAACTTACACCAGATGCTACTGAGCGCCTTAGGGTCTGTCTTTTAGAGGATGTACCCCTAAAGTGAGTGGTTTTAAACAGGAAGATGGGAGATTTAGATGAGATCTGAGGAAGAAATTCTTTGCTGTGAGGGTGGTGAGACCCTGGAAGAGGTTGCCCAGAGAAGCTGTGGCTGCCCCATCCCTGGAGGGGTTCAAGGCCAGGCTGGATGGGGCTTGGAGCAACCTGGTCTGGTGGGAGGTGTCCCTGCCCAGGGCAGGGGGTTGGAACTGGATGATCTTTAAGGTCCCTTCCAACTCGAACCATTCTGTGATTCTATAAACTTACACCAGATGCTACTGAGCACCTCAACGTCTGTCTTTTAGAGGATGTACCCCTAAAGTGAGTGCCCCCGCCCCCAAACCTGCCCAAGCTCCCCCCTCCACAGCCTTACACGCCCTTCCTGCTTCTGTCTCTCTTTCTCAGCCTCATTTATTGTCTTTGGCCACTCCAAGGTTCCTTCCCCAGGGATTACAACGCCACGTGACAGCGCTCATTAGCGCCGCGCGCTTTATATTACAAAACATCAAGGTGCCTATAAGACTGGGAGCCATTAACAATTAACAGCTGCCCGAGACAACGAGGAGACAGACCTTCTCTCAGCAGGAGCCCCCCCGTCAGCGTGACAGCGAGCTGAGAGCCCCCAGGCACACGGAGAGCCCCAGAGAGGACAAATTCCTCCTTCAATTAGTGCCAATCACGCCCTGACGCATCCCGCCCATCACAGCCCGCCTGATGCCGTCCCAACAGTCAGGTCCTTCCATCATATTCTGGCTCGACCTGCATAAAACATGAAGGGACTAAGGGATTCTTTGGCTTCCTCCATCACTAAAACTGAAATAACTGACAGCTCATGCTTATGGAAAAGGCTTCGCTCGGTCCAACGCTGAGATTTCAAGCATTTCAACAATTTCTCGAAGTCTGAGTGATTTGCTTCGTGGCTACAGAGAGCTCCCCGTGTTAAATATTTCCCCAAATTCTCCTCAGAGAGGACAAAGGGGTTTTTTTTTTAAATAAAAACCACAAAGCCAAAATGAGTAGTTCTAGGTCTCTCACATGAGGGACTTGTGCTCAATGAGAAAAACTCGCTAAGGCTTGGAGCAGCTCAGAAATCATAGAATCATAAAATGGTTTGGGTTGGAAGGGACCTTAAAGATCATCGAGTTCCAACCCCCTGCCATGGGCAGGGACACCTCCCACCAGACCAGGTTGCTCAAAGCCCCATCCAGCCTGGCCTTGAACCCCTCCAGGGATGGGGCAGCCACGACCTCCCTGGGCAAATGGAACCACTCAGGCTGAAAGTTCATGATTCCCATCCAGAAAAGCAGCGCCACGAACCCAGAGCGGTTTTTATGAAGCTTAATTCATGGAAAGGAAGTGAAAAAACAAATCTGCCCTTTCAGTGAAGTTACAATTTACCTAACAATTGCTGGGAAACACTGCACTGCCCCAAACACCATAAAGAACATGCTGTGTTTTAACACAGTTCTTCCCTATCGGTTGGCAAAAATGGGTTCCTGCTGAGGGACAGATGAACATGGGGAGAGGAAACAAGGCAGATGGAATCTCATTTAGAATCACAGAACAGAATCATAGAATGGTTTGGGTTGGAAGGGACCTTTAAATATCATCCATTTCCAACCCCCTGCCCTGGGCAGGGACACCTCCCACCAGAGCAGGTTGCTCCAAGCCCCATCCAGCCTGGCCTTGAACCCCTCCAGGGATGGGGCAGCCACAGCTTCTCTGGGCAACCTCTTCCAGGGTCTCACCACCCTCACAGGAAAGAATTTTTCCTGAGATCTCATCTAAATCCCCCCTCTTAGGGTTTAAAACTGTTACTCTTCATCCTATCACTGCAATCCCTGATCACGAGTCCCTCCCCATCTCTCCTGTGGCCCCTTTAGGTACTGGAAGGGTCTCTAAGGTTTTCCTGGAGCCTTCTCTTCTCCAGGCTGAACAACCCCAGCTCTCTCAGCCTGTCCTCACAGCAGAGGAGCTCCATCCCTCTGAGCATCTTCGTGGCCTCCTCTGGACCCGTTCCAACAGGTCCATGTCCCTCCTGTGCTGAGGACTCCAAAGCTGGACACAGTAGGTGGGGTCTCACAAGCGCAGAGTAGAGGGGTAATGAATTGAGTTAACAAATACATGAATCTGGAAAGAATGTATTACTGTAGTAACCTTCCTCCTCTGAACACCCTCCCAACACCGCGCAGTGGTTCTTACCTGTCTGTGTTTTGGGGGGGCTGGTGTGAAACAGCCACACGTGCGCAGGGGACGGGCTGCCCGTTGTGGGGAGGAGATGTCGTCTCCGGCTGGAGCTGGGTTCCTCCTGCAGGTGCCAGGGGAGACGTGGGACCAGGCACCCCTAGAGAGACAAAATGGCTTTTCATAAAACCAAGCAACGTAAAATTAAGCGAAACCATTTCCTACAAAAGACAGCACAGTCAAGGAAAGCTACAGTTCCCACAAGTCAAGTTTTTGGGCACACCAGCCCCACTTCAGGTTTGATGACTGAGATGAAATCACCCTTTAAGGAAATGGAATAAGTCTGCAACAACCCCATCTGTAACACCGTGCAAAAGAAAGGAGAGAATCAGTTTCTTTTGCCATCAGAATCAGAAAAAGAACTTGTTTCTTTTCACTTAATAAATAAACTTGGTAAAGCAACTCCCTCTGGTTGAACGCCAATGTGACAAAGTTGCTAAAAGAGCTGACTCATTTAGTAATGGTTAATTACCTATAGAGAAAGGCTAACTAATGTTTGCTAGGGCTTCAGTTATTCTCCTCTCACATTCACCCCTTGTGCTTGGGGCACAGTTAAACACAGTACCTGCTTCTCCGGTAACATTTGCCTTGGATATATGTCCATTCTGCTGGTCATTGGGTTTCTACAAAGGAAGCACAGTTTTGTGAATTAAAAATGGCACTAAAGTGAAACATGCCCAATATTTACACAAGTTAAGTAGAAGCACTAACCTTATCTACAGCTTCTACACGCCTGGTTCTCTTCATGATCTCCTCGAGCCTCTGCAATGAAATGTCAAGGGGTAAAATAATGGGGAGGGACTCTTGATCAGGGAGGAGAGCCAAAGGATGAGGGGTAATGGTTTTAAACTGAAAGAGGGGAGATTTAGAATAGATCTCAGGATTAAATTCTTTAGTGTGAGGGTGGTGAGACACTGGAAGAGGTTGCCCAGAGAAGCTGTGGCTGCCCCATCCCTGGAGGGGTTCAAGGCCAGGCTGGATGGGGCTTGGAGCAACCTGGTCTGGTGGGAGGTGTCCCTGCCCAGGGCAGGGGGTTGGAACTGGATGATCTTTAAGGTCCCTTCCAACCCAAACCATTCTATGGTTCCGTGATTCCATAAAATAATGTTTGCTGGCATTAATTTAAAAATATTTCTCCTGAACCACAACTGCTTCTCATTTATCAGTTGCGTTTGTTTATTGCAAAAAGCTGAATTATTTATTACTGTTGGCAACACTCCCTTCAGGCAGCTTTTCTGGGGGCACATTTATATCAGGGATAACTTTCTACAAGGGAGGTGGAAGCGAACTGCTACGGCAAAATTAATTCCAGTTTCTCTGCATGTCCTGAGTTACCTTCTTCCTTTCTAAGCGCTCTTGCTCTTCTCTTTGGAAATGCTTTTCACGTTCTAATCGAATCCGCTCTGCCTCTTCCCGTAGGCGAGCTTCCTCTTCCTTCTGAGAAAAAGAAATGAAGAATAATTTACCATTTAAGGACAGATTTATATGGTATTTTCTTAACTATGCATACCTACAATACCCTGAAAAGACACCTTCGGGGTTTACAAGTCCCCAAGAATCTTTTCAGACTGAATTGCACATTTCTCGATTAATCTCCATGTTTTGCGCAGCATTAAGAGATGAGTAATTAAACAAGGGTCATCATATTTGGTTCTGTGCCTTTTCTGGGGCACGTATTTGCACAGCATAAAGAGACGAGTAACTAAACAAGGGTCATCATATTATTTGGTTCTGTGCCTTTTCTGGGGCACGTGGATGAAAGCAGCCCAGGTGACAAACGAGGGATACATTTCCTAACCCTCACCATCAAACCAGCAGCCAGGAAAGTATTCAAGAGATTCACCTTTTGAGCCATGGATATTTTTGAGAGTCAAAGAGAAGCAGCAGAATGTTTTACTTGGCCAACGGAGTCATTGCTTAAGGAGACCAAGAACAAACAGCCAGAGGAACATCTGCACAAGCTTCCCATTCCATTCCTGATTAAATATAACACTGGTCTGGAATATACCACAGACAGACCTTGCTCCCTGACACTGACAGTGTTGTATGATGGAACTACCGCAACAGTGCATTTGTTGAGGCTGCAACACCCAAAAAAACTTGGCCAACTGTTATTTGAGAGCTAAACTGGGGATGCATCTCAGTTTAGCACTTCAAAGAAAGCAGCACACGCCTTGTGGAAAAGTGAATTGTAGTTTCTAAGCTGTATTCACTAACACAATCCTTTAAACTTTCATTTTCAGAAGCGTCCATGTGATTATTTACCAGAAGAAAAAAGCTAATGACTCTGAAGCAGATTGAAGTGCTGAATTTTGGGGCCAAGAAAGCGCCTACATAAAGTAAGAGCATGTGCAAGAAGAATCCTACCCAAACTGCTTACCACAGCCTCCCCTGACGCCAGAACACCAACATTATGCCCATCAAAAAATGAGAGCGCTTGAAAAATAGTATTTTGATTTATTTACTTTCATGTCCTTTAAGCAGCTGCTCTGATTTCAGGAGGACTGCACCAGGTAAAGGTTCTCCTTGGCTTGACTGAAGTGGTCAAAACCTGCTCCTTCCCACTTCCCCCACAATGGCACCGCTGGACGTAGGGTTAGAACACAACAGCGCCGTGTCTCCAGCACTTTGAGCAGTCACTTATCTTGGGATCTACACTTTCTGTAACCGTGGCCACAAAGAGTTCTCTGCTATAACATAGAATCATAGAACGTTTTGGGTTGGAAAGAACCTTTAAAGGTCACCTAGTCCAACCCCCCTTCAATAAGCAGGGACATCAACTAGATCAGGTTTCTCAAAGCCCCATCCAGCCTGACCTCGAGTATCTCCACGGACAGGGCCTCCACCACCTCTCTGGGCAACCTGTTCCAGTGTCTCACCACCCTCATTGTAAAGAACTTCTTCCTAATGTCTAACCTCAATCTACCCTGCTCTAGTTCAAAACCATTTTCCCTCGTCCTATTGCTACATGCCCTTGCAAACAGTCCCTCCCCATCTCTCCTGTAGCCCCTTCAGGGACTGGAAGGGGCTCTAAGGTCTCCCCGGAGCCTTCTCTTCTCCAGGCTGAACCCCCCTAACTCTTAGCCTGTCTTTGTAGGAGAGGTGCTCCTAACATCATCCATTAGAATCCCCCAAAACAACCCTATTGATTTTTTTCATCACGATTTATCAGGAACAGGAAAGGATTTGTTCTAAATAAAAAAATTCTGCAAAGAAAAAAAAACCCAAACAAGACTCAACTCCCTACCACGTGTTTTTGCCAAGAAGAAATATCTTTGCTCTTTGAACCACTTTATGGAATGAACTCTGCTACAATCCTGTTCACTTTAGGGATAGCACTGAAATTTTAGATATTTTAGGTAAAATCTGGGTGCTGCATAAGAGGAGTTGCTTCATCCACTTTGCTGCCAACCAGGCTGGCACAGAAGTTCCTAGAGGGGGGGCCACATACTTGTTTCTGAAGGCGCTCCATCTCCTCTTTCTCCTTCTGCTCCCTCTCCTCTGCCTGTCGGCGCAGCCGCTCTTCCTTTTCCCTCTCCTCCTCCGCACTCCTCCTGCGAGCTTCCTCCTCTTCTCGGCGAGCTCTTTCTTCAGCTATCCTCTGCGACAGCTCCTCCTTCTTCTGCCTGCAAGCATGGAATCATAGAGTCATAGAATGGTTCAGGTTGGAAGGGACCTCAAAGATCATCCAGTTCCAACCCCCTGCCCTGGGCAGGGACACCTCCCACCAGACCAGGTTGCTCCAAGCCCCATCCAGCCTGGCCTTGAACCCCTCCAGGGATGGGGCAGCCACAGCTTCTCTGGGCAACCTCTTCCAGTGTCTCACCACCCTCAAACCACAGAATTTTGGTTAAATAAGGCCTTATTGCCTTATTGAGTTAACCACGGCAACGGAAACTTCACTGCAGTGTATTATAATATCATTTATTAATGTGTCACTAAGGCAAATCTCTGTAGGCTGCTTGGTGGG